CCCCAAAACCCCAAAACCCCGAGAATTAAAAGACTCACAAATTCGTAAATTATTGAAAATAAAAAATCATTGTTAAATTAAATAATTTACATAATAAATCATCAATATCCATTATTTACAAATATTCGTTCTTTAGATGGGATAACTTCAAGTCTGCTGCGAAAATAAGGGTTAACCAGAATTTCCATTTGATTAACCCTACAAAATAAGGAGAGATTTCTTAGGGATTAAGACTCATCCAATAACATTGGATTACACTTTCGAAGGATAATTGGGGTTAGGTTCTTATGGATAAGTTTGGCTAGGAAAGAGCAAGCTTTCCAAAGGCTAATACTTTGCTATAAAAAAGATTCCGATTAACGACTTGGATTAAGAATAAGATATCCTAATTTAGAATGAAATTGCAACTCTCGCAAAATGCGTAAGTTAAGCTTAAATAATAAACTGAATAAATTACTAATACAGTCTTTTAGGATCACTCTAGTATCGTGAGTGTTTATGCAGTATATAAGGAGATATAAAATACATACATCATAGAAGAGTATTAATAATCTTATTTAACAAATTTCAATCATAGGTTCATTCCAAACTGTAAACCGATCAGCTATTTGTACGAGAATGAAAGGAAATTCAATGAGCAGAGTAGAATTAAAGTTTTTGAACAAATTTTGAAGGCTTTACACTATCTGCACCAAAATGAGATAGCCCATTGAGATTTGAAATGCGAAAACATAGTATTTTCAAGTTCATCCTCTTGTTCCCCATCTTCATCAGAATATAGTACCAATGCTTCTATTGATACTGTACGATCCTAGACACCAAGAAATTAGGAGTCTTACTTCTCAAAATGTCAAGAAATCGAAGAGATAAATATCAAAATTATTGACTTCGGTTTCGCAAAAATTAGTAAACCTAATAAACGAGAGTTGAAGGATATATTGGGTACCCCATACTATATGGCACCAGAAATTATAAATTAATAGTCTTATGGCTCAGAGGTAGATATCTGGAGTGTTGGAGTTCTACTATTTTATCTAATTGAGTTCGATTTTCCGTTTAAGGGCAATGACAAAATCCAATTATTCAAGAACATTGTCAAACTAAATTATTCATTCATTAATCCCATTTGGTCTCAAGTTTCTGATAATTGCAAAGATTTCATTAGATAATGCTTCACTTAAGACCAAAATAAAAGGCCGTCTGCTCAATAACTTTTACAGCATCCTTGGATAAGTCAAAAGAAAAATCTTAGAATGAAGAAGTATAGAAGGAAATCAGAAATTCCATTACCAACCAAGGACATGTCTGATAGAGATTTTGAAAACATGAGATTATTACAAGTATCACAATCCATCTTTTAATATGTAAACCAAACAATCACAGATCAAGCTCAGCTAAACAATTTAGCAAGATATCTGGAAAGAAAAGATAAAAAAGAAACAGGGTATATGACAGTTGAGTAAATCAAAACTTATCTAACATTGAAAGTTGACAGCAATGATCTTGAAGATTTTAAGTCTATTTTAAACTCAATGAGTCTATAAGTCTTTGATGGGTAGATTGATTACGAAAATTTATTGGTTGGAATGCGATGCCTTAAAAATCAATAGTAGAAGTAAAACTTAGTGGTGAGCTTATCTAGCTTCATGCCAAGTTGTGACATTAAAGTTAATAAGAATGACCTTTATTCTGCTTTTGAAACTAAAAAGCAGCTTAATTATAACAAGTTTATAGAAGTTATGAAAAAATACCTCCAAGAAATAGACTCTCAAGAAATACCTCTTGAGGAGTTATTAAAAATTGTAGATATGTCAATTCATTTATTGTGAGGTTTTTTTATTGATCTCATATTTATATCCAATCATCATCCTTAATCTTCCATTTTAATTTATGATAAAAATTAATTCACATAAATTTTGGTGTAACGGGGTTTTGGGGTTTTGGGG